CCTAAACCCTAAACCCTAAACCCTAAACCCTAAACCCTAAACCCTAAACGCTAAACCCTAAACCCTAAACCCTAAACCCTAAACCCTAAACCCTAAACCCTAAACCCTAAACCCTAAACCCTAAACCCTAAACCCTAAACCCTAAACCCTAAACCCTAAACCCTAAACCCTAAACCCTAAACCCTAAACCCTAAACCCTAAACCCTAAACCCTAAACCCTAAACCCTAAACCCTAAACCCTAAACCCTAAACCCTAAACCCTAAACCCTAAACCCTAAACCCTAAACCCTAAACCCTAAACCCTAAACCCTAAACCCTAAACCCTAACAATGGGCCCGAGAGAGGACGTGGGGCCCACTGGTAGGGACGGTCGGAGCGTTACAAGTGGTATCAGAGCCGAACCCAGACGAGTGTGGAGTGTAGAGGGCTCACACCGTAGGGGGTGACGGTCTTGGTGCGCAACGAGGACGTTGCGATCTATTAGTGGGGGTGAATTGTAGCACCCCCAATTCACCCCGGTTTCAAGAATATGGTGGTGCATGCGGAGAGGGTTATAAGAATTGATTTGGCCACCTATGTCACCAAAGTGCATTTACCTTTTCGGTCAAACGTCCTAAGAGAACTCCACAGTTAAGCGTGCTTGTGGTGGAGTAGTTTCAAGATGGGTGACCTTCCGGAAAATGATTGTCGGAACTGTGTGAGTGAGGACAAAACACAGGGAAAGATCATATGGTGATTTGTAGGGTCGGTAACAAGTCTTTAAAGCCTCCCAGACGTAGCGGACCGGCCGTCGGACAAGGGTGGGCCCATGAGCCTGAGAGAGGGCGTGGGACCCACTGGTAGGGACGGTCAGGGCGTTACAAGTAAACCCTAAACATCATTGTCATGTGAACAGAGCCGATAATGAACAGAGGAAGCGATCGAACGGAGAAAGCAAACTTGAGACGCCATCAAATGCCTATTGGGGAAGTAAAAAACCAACGTTGCAGAAAACTGGAGACTCGATCTGTCTTCTTATTCTTGTTGCAGGTTTTAGTCCAAACTCCAAATTATTCAATTTTATGTTTTATTATAAGGCATTAAAGCAATGGTATATGTTTGATTACAGAGGCTATTTTCGGATTATATATCTTTGCTCTTGTGGAGTTTACTTAACTTCCACATTCCCAAAACCAGTTTTGTTTAACGATTTTACTTTTAAAATGTGGAGTTGTTGTTTCATATGCAAACATATATTCAGTAATTCTATGCCATCAACAGAAAATAGCAATATAAACAGAAAACATGTCTCGCTTATGATCAATCTGGCACAGCAAGTGAAATTAAATTCCCAAATACATGAACTCTCAGAATTGATTAAAGAAAAGAAGAAGTGCAGACCAAAAATACAGCAAACATAAGAAAATGCAGCGGCACGTGGTCAACGTTCCCGCTGGACGAGCCGGAACCAGCGGAGGGAACGGTCTTGGAACCACCTCCAACTCCTGTGTACCGGTGTGCAAGGAGAATATATTCAATTAACTAAAAATCAAGTGTTGACTGGTTTGGTGATAAGAGGAGTAGGTACCTGAACGAGCACCCGGCGATGAGGTTGGGGTCAGTGTCACATCTGAGGTATTTTCCGTCGGTGAAGGGGCCGGAGGCGGTGCTGCTGGACCAGTGGCCGCTAATTTACAAACTCTGTTATGAGTGAAACAATATTATAACGCATATGATATAAATATATAGTTAGGTGGGATACCGTTGCATTGTGTGAGGGGAGGCGTCTGAATGTTGCAGGCATTGGGGAGCTGCAAGGCCTGTGTGCGGTTAATGTTAAGACCGATGTTGGGAATCGGACTGTTTACGGCTGAGCAGATGCACTGCGGTGAAGATTTGATGACAGAGTCGAGCTGAGAACAGCAAGGCTGTGAGGGAGTGGTTGAGTTTCCGGTGATGTAGCTGAGGCACGGAGAGAGAGTGGTCAGTGTGCTCACGCATGACCCGCTCGGCTGTGCTTTTGTTACGCCCCATAGAGCCACCACAAGGGCTACAAATGTGATTGCGTAGTTTCTTCTATACCCCATAATTTGAGTTATTATTGTTCATTTGTGTTTTTGCTTGGGTTTAATTATAGGAGGAATTGATCAGAAAATGTCAAAGAGACAGGTCTGGTTAGATGACCTACTTTACATGGTTTATTTGGTTTTATCAAACAAATATATATGTTCTAGATGCACCCCAATATAAACAACGCCACATAGACATGCAGCAAGATACTTCGTTTACATAACTAATTAAAGATTGTAATTACTTAAGTTACAAAATTACTAGGAGAATACCAAACTCAGCTACTTTCTCTTTTTATTTGGCTTCTCTTTGTAAATCAAATTAAAAGAAAAGATTGAGAGAAAGGATATTAGTTGGAAGTTGTTGAACTCCAATGCACCTATTTTATCATATATAAAATAGAATGATTATATAACTATAAGGCATCTTCACCGGAGGATTAAGCAGGCCAATTAAAATGGAAGGCTTAACATTGATAGTAGTGATGATGTCAAGCTTTATGTTGGGAGGGAAAGGTCAGCAGATAAGCACGCCATGTACCTCCTCCATGATCTCTACCTTCACTCCATGTCTCAACTTCATCACCGGAAGCAGCGGCGGTTCCGTCACTCCCACCGCCGGCTGCTGCGACTCCTTGAAGACGTTGACCAACACCGGAATGGGCTGTGCTTGCCTCATCCTCACCGCTAATGTCCCGCTGCCTACTGGCTTCATCAATCGGACTCTCGCGCTTGCTCTACCTCGAGCCTGCAAAATGGGCGGTGTACCTATTCAGTGTCAAGGTTTTTACTTTACTATACTTTTTATTTATTAATTTTTCATTTTTTAACACCACGATTACTCACTTGCTTGATTTACAGCTGCGGGGACTCCTCTACCAGCGCCAGGTATTCCGCCGCTAACTAACTATTATATATAATATAACAAAAAGGCTTTAGGCTAGTGGTTCCTAAAGAGAGGGAACAAAGCCACAACAACGGTTCAATTCTCCTTGCCAGGATATTAAAACAATAAAACCCGCTCTTACCTTAAGTTTATAAAGAGAAAACAAACTATGTATATCTAAGATCCAAAACAAACTATTTGTGTGTATAAGTTCCAGGTTATTCCATATATTAATACATATATGTATTGGGCAGGTCAGGTTCCATTTTTGATTGCTCCCCCACCTCCTGTCTCTGCTTTTAGCCCCGGAGGTGAGTAATTAAGCAACCACAATCATATATGTTGTTATGCGTTTTCGTGTTTTGAATTTGATTTTTGTTGGACACACTTGATCAGCGTCCAAGGCGGCGGTGACAACACCAACACAGGCACCTGCACCTGCACCAGATATTCCCGCAGATGGACCAACGGGTCCCACAACTAAACCTGGAATTCGACCCGTAGATCAGCCCATGCAACCCACCAGCCTCGCTCAGTTTTCTACTTCTCCATTTCTCCCGTTGCTCTTCATATCTCTTATCCTGTTGACTTTATAAGCCAATCGGCGTCTAAAATCTTTAAACTTATGCATGTGTTGTTGTCAGATATTTTCATTACGAGTTCATTGTTACACATGATTTCAACAAAAATACTTTTCAAGACTCTGATAAATTATTTCAAAAACTTCGTATGTCATACATGTCTTTTTCTTCTATTTTTTTGTTTGCCGCGATATTGGAAACTTAAAATTTCCACAATGAGTCTTCAACTTAAAATTAGTATATCAAACAACGTGGTTTTGGGCTTAGTGGTTGATGCCAAATGCCACCCAAATGACTATCTATGACAGGCTAGTTCGGTAGTTCCATTCCCCGTTGAGAGGGACTGTCCTCGGAAGAAAGGTGTTTACCTTGCTCTGGTCTCGGTCCACGAAGATTACAGGTCTCGACCCTGAATTTGTGGTAAACACAATAAAAAGATTATATTACCAATGATGTAAAGACGAGCCTTTTGTTCTCTGGGATTTATGTTTTCAGACATAATCAGAAAACAAAAACTAATCATGACAGCAAAAAAGCAAAACAGCACATCTCCAGATGATGTAAAGACGAGCCTTTTGTTCTCTCATCTGCCATCTCGTCACCTTCTCCAGACTCCCTGCACACCTCAACAGTGTCGCTGCCATTCTTACGAATCCACAACGCTACGTTTTAATGGGTTTCTGGCTTCCTCTTCCGACTCACTCCAACGACTTGGTTGATTATGTTGTTGGCGACTGTGTGCGTGTGTATATATAAGAGGAGCGATGATGAGAAACATTAAAAGATTAATGCAAACAGAAACAGTATAATGAGATTAACAAACAAAATAATGTAGTAGAAGGAATGTTGTTGGAGGAAAGTGAGGACCTATATGTTCCCAATCCCAATATCAACTATCAAGACACGCGTTTACTATTTATTTTGCTATTTGGACACAAATGTTTGGTTTTTTTCCCTGTGAACCCTTTTGTTCGGTAGCTAGCTATGATTGTGGTTTTTCACCTTATTTTATTCAATTCAATTTCTGTTTATTTTCGGTTATCCATTCCCGCTTGGTGAGACCAGCCTAACTTATCTCCTGCTGCTACAAACAAGTAAGTGAATTTTAAATATTGCAGTATATATGAAAGAAGAGTTTACATAAGAAGATCGACGGTTTAGCGTCTACATAACAAATTATAAACACTTAGGCAAATTGGTTTGATTTGACAAGAGAGTTGATGTGGTGGTGCTCCGGTGGATGGACTACCTGCTACCGAACGTCTCAAACACCGTTGTCACGTGCGCCTCCTCTCCCTTCATAAGCTTTGGTTTTTCTATGGGACGTGTATACCACGCAAATGATGAGTCATTTAACCGAGGCGATGATGTTGGGCCATTAACTATGCTTCATGGACCCAAGCTCACGTGGGAAACTAGACGAGATGTGGTTGAAAGTCTATTCAGCGACAATGTGAGTAAGAAGAGCGCGAAAAAGAGATATGCCTCTTTTTTGTTCATTAAAGAAAAAACGTCAACATATATGAGAGGTGCTACTTTTCCATATTAAACGTGATAACGATTATCCATCCATTTATTGGGTTTGGAGTACCCTCGCGAAATTCACTCTCTTATTAGTCTCTTTTATGTTCTTCTAATGGAAAAATTCATTCTCTCAATTATATTTGTCTTTTTTATGTTATGGTTTCATTTCACTCCAGGATTAGAATTACCAACACTTCTTTGAAACAATGGTTTTTCTAAACCGTTATCTTTCTCATATTGCTATTGGGGTTGGATTAATATAATAACATGTGTTAGATTTTTAATATCATCTTAGGTTATTGAAGATGATGAATGAACGGAACGATTTTCTGATATTTCTATTGTTTCAGTCCCACATATAAATAATGTTTGTAGTTTGTACAGATAGTCTTGCAAAAAGTCCAACCCCCACAAAATGATTATGGACTGGATTTCTCTTAAGACAAAGTCTGGTCCCCCACCTAGTACTTGATTAGTGTTTGGTATAAAAAAAAAAAGATGCATCCCTAATTCCAAAATCAATTATCACTTGGTGGGGTATCAATAACAATCAATAACTCCGGAAACTTAAGAATAGTTTTTGGGAAAAAAATGAAAACAGCAACCTACTCTCCCAAAAGGACTTCTTTTCGAATACACTAAACAGAGAAACTTGTCAAAAAGAAATTTCGACATAAAAGCTGCAATTTACATTACAAAATTAACTGTGATGTTATTCGGCAATCTCGTCTGTTGTTTTCAAGCGTCTTCAAGAGCTTTCTTGATGTCTTTCTGCTCACAAAAGAAGGAAACCGGATCACGACAATGACAACATATTACATGGGTACTTTGGATACATAAAGCACGAATACCTCGATTGATAGCGGTGTAACCATCGTGCCATAACGATCAATCACTAAGCCATCTTTGCCGACCAAGAACTTGGTGAAGTTCCACTTTATCCTGGAACCCAGAAAGGTGGGTTTACTTGCCTTCAGGAATTTATAGAGTGGTGCTGCGTTTTGACCGTTTACGCGTACCTAAGCCCACATTCACAAAACACAACTAGTTAGTGTTTATGAATTTCTTGTTAAAACGAAACGAACGTACCACAAGTCACAGCTGCCTAACATAATAAGTTGAGGAGCTATAATAAACGTGTTCCAAGAGTCTTGATCCCTACCTACCTTTTGGAAAACAGGGTATTCGGCCTTAAAGCGTGTGCAGGCAAATTCATGAGCATCTTGACTTGTGCCGGGCTCCTGGTATAGAAACTGGTTGCAAGGGAATGCCAAGATCTCAAAATCTGAAAACAAGAGAGCATGAAATGGTAAAACCAGCAAAGGAGATGAGCTTGCAACTGCATAACAAAAGCTCTAAAATAATCATGACCTTGGTCCTTGAATTTCCGGTAAAGTTCGGTGAGCTGGGTATAGTTTGTTTCGGTGAAACCGCTGTTTGTACAAACCAAGGAGTAACGGTGAATAAGAAAATAGCAAAATTTGGGAAAGACCAAAAAAAGAGACGAACCATTTGGAAGCAACATTGACGATGAGGAGGACTTTTCCTTGGTAAATGCTCAAATTCAGGTCCTTGCCGGAGCTATCCTGATTCCCAGGAAACAAGAACAAGGAATAAATAAATAATATCAGAGCGACGATTCAACCTCCTCCTCTAGTATGAGCGAAAAGAGAATACCTTTACAGTGAATTGATGGACGGATCTCTCGGGAACCGAAGCAGAAGCACCCATCTCTCTACAGAAATCAAAGGGAAAGGCTTTCTCACGAGGAACCAACCTTTTTATTTAAGGAACCCTCTTTGACCTTTTTCTGCGCGTTCGTGTGGACTCGCTTCCTCCTTGTTTTTCTAGTCTTCTCTCCTTTTTACTTCATTCTTCTTACATACATACATACACATACATGTGAAATTGTGAATTGTATTATTACCTTTTTTTTAGAAAGGGCTAATGCAAGTCTGTATTCTCAACAAGAGGTTTAAGTCTCTGTAATATATTTATTCATGAGAAAAGTATATACCCAATCATTCCCTTTCAAGAAAGAACAAAAAAAACAACTTTTCAGTAGGAATATTATTCTAAGAGATGAATATACATCATACACTCCAAGGTCAAAACCCACATAACAAAATAATGTTGACAAGCAAAAAAGAACAATAAAGACGAAAGGAGCGCAGATAAAATACTAAACTCTTCTCAATTTCTACAAATGGCTTTTTTTACCATTTCCTCACTCTCTGCATTGCATGTGATTCTGATTCCGAAATCATATGTACACCCTCCCTTCTTTGTCATATCACTATTTCACCTCAACAACATAGCCATTCTTAGAGCCACATCACCTCGGTGTTTTTGCTTTTTGCTTCACACCGCCCTCTCTTCTTTACCAGTTTCCATCTCTCTCAAGTTTCTCTAGTCACTTCTCTGATGCCACATGCCCGGATCTGCAAATAACCAAATGATACTCGGGGTTATTCCCTATGAATCTTCTACTTCTTCATTAAATGCCAAATAAACCTATAATATGATTCCACTAAAACTTATATCCTACCACAAGAATGTTGCACATGGCTCACTAGAAGATGAGTAAATATTTGGCCTTTCATGTCCCTACGTTTGTTCATTCTGAGCAAGAGTGGGTTCCTCAATAGACAGAAAACTACTTACAAGGCCAAGGATTATAAACGTCTCAAACCTCCTTACCTCTCATTCCAACTGGAACAGGACCATCAGAATGCGGCTTCGGGTGCAAAGGGTGTCTGTTATTATATTGGCGAGGAGGATGATCCCACCGCTGGTTCTGATACCTTTCAGACTCCCGTGGAGGGACACCATTGTATGAACTAGATGGATAAGGGGCTTTGTGTTTGTCTTCATATCTCGAACCTGCAAGATGATGATCATATCAGACTTCCCATTCCCGCATCATTACACTAGAAAGCATCTATGACTGTTGACTGCATCTGTGTGCACATATATATAATAAACACAGCACTACGGTAAAAGGCCTCACCATAAGAAGAAGATGGTTGATATCTCCAATTATCTCGATTATCATATGGTGCATGCCTCATTCTCTCATGGTTATCATGAAAATTTCTTTCATCAAAATTCGGTACATAATGAGATCTGTGGGAGTACGATGGAGCGTCCCTACGCGACTTCAAAAGGTGGCCTGGCTCTGTAAATGAGTATTGATGCTGTGGTGGAGGCGGAGGGGGAGGAGGTTGTGGATGAGATGGATAAGGCCTATGCTGGAAATTAGAACCATCTGTCTGTGGAATGCTATTCGTAAGTTGTACACCAGAACTATAAGAGGACTCCGGACCTTGATAATGCATTGTGCTTCCAGACAGTGGTGGGTTCATCCTAAGAGGACCCGCCTGATGATCTCCCTGCATATTTAACAATAACAATAGGATAAGTGACCATATCAAGATATATCATCATGTTTATTGTAAAAGGATTCTACAACAAGAAAAAGGACGTACATGCATGTTGCGATATCCTCCATTTCCAAAGCCATTTAAGTAGGAATCAGGCATGGCACACTGGCCCTGCTGTGAAGGGGGAGCTGGAGGCAGCGGTGGAGGTGGTGGCGAGGAAGATGACAGTGGTGGAGATGACAATGACGCATGCTGATGTGAAGTGCCAAAGACAGGCAGATGCTGTTGTCCAAGGTGACAATTGGTAACCTTAGTATTATCAGCTCGATCAGTGTGTGCGCAGTTTCCAGTTTCCCAAGGCGGAGCCACATCTTCCATTTCAAGCTCACCATCAACATCTTCCAATATAAGTGTATGCCTTTCAGCCGTGGATGATGAGACATTTTCTTCAAGGATTCTGGACTCATGTTCAGGGGTGACAGACTCGAAATCCCCTCCATCCGAGTCACTACCTCCCTCCGAGTCAGTCCCTCCCTCCTCATCCTTAATCAATGCAGGCATGCAAAATCCAGGGAGCTGGAGAGTTGAATTACTAATACGCAAAGATGAATTAGTTTAACGAATTTAGAGACAGGGATATAGATATAGATTTTAAAAAAAAAAAAAAAAATCTAACCTTCCATATTCATCCACCAGCATATCCTCCATATCTCTCACAGGATCATCCAACGACCTTTCTGTTCGAGCTGAGCGCCGAGAATAGAGGCAAGCAGGAACTATACTATGTGAATCAAGTTCTCTTATATGGTGACGAACAATAGATTCAGGCAGGATCCGTCTTTCAAGCCAAAGCTTCAAAACCTATAAATAGCAGAAAGGTTGAGAAACAATAACGATACAAAAGAGCTAACAAATATTATGGGTCACCTTTAAGCACTGTTTCCGATTTTCTTGTGTGGTAGCTCCAGCAGGTACAGCAGCCGCCAATAGGCGAGGTAAAATTACTTGAATGGCTGAAAGATAAACACAACCAGTATCACCTGAAAAGTAGGGTAGTATTCATGGTCAATTCCACATTTAGAACTTTGCTGATGCGGCTTAACACTGCTCATTGCACATACGACATACCTTTCAGCCCTTTGGAGCACTGAGCAATGGAATCCACAAGGAAAAATAAGTCCACCCTCCTCTTTAAATTTGACTCACTTTCCAAAGTATGAGCCAAAATCTCCATAGCCTAGTTTAGGAGGTTCATCAAGACTTATTAAAAACAGATACTGCAAACAAGAATACTCTCACAAAACACACTAAAATATGTAAAAGTCATCCCTTCTTCATCAACTAGGTAATCCAAAATTACTCAAATAATATGTTACCCAACCCTTCCAAGAAGTGGTGGCTGTCAGCAGCATCCTACTAAGCACATAAAACAATAGCATGATTCACACTAATACTTTGTTTGATCTATCAAAATTATTATGTAGACACATATTATTATTCCAAAGCTCTACATTATTATTCTATCTATATGGCCTACTATAGAAAATGTTGCTTGCAACATATCTACGTACTATATTAACAATACATCAGCAACGCCGACAACAAATTCGAAAACCGCAAAAGCTGACCCACCCTCTATATGACTTGTCGCGGCAACAAATAGGTAATCAAAAATCATATAAAAATAAATATCTTCTACCTTTGCAGGCACACCAAATTTCATCAAGTCCATAGCCAAACGAGTTGCTCGGCCAATACTCTCCTTTGTCCTCACCAATGAACTAAGTGCATCCTCATAAGATCCACGAGTGGATTGCACATCACAACTAACAACTTTCTGTCCCTGACATACACCTGTTTCGATTTTCTCTTCTTCTTTGACAATGGCATCACAAACATTTTTCTTCTCACCAGATGGAACATTTGGGCTGCAACTACTGTTGTTCTGCATATCATTTGCACTTTCTGCAGTAGAAATGTGGTAATAAACTGAGCTGCTATGTGGAGTGCCCCTCGCAGGAGTGTCTGCAGTATTAGCAGGAGATAAACTCATTTTTTCACGTGAAAGGTTCTCAGATACAGAGCCAGAATTGATGATTTGGACCTGCTGCCTTTTATCATCAGTCTCATCACTGCAATAGCACACGCAGTATACCCTTTTGTTAGTCAACTAGTTCAGTGGTGAAGCAGAAGTCTGTCTTATCATTGGAATTCTGAAAATATTAAGATAACAAAAAACTGAAGCTTACACTGGTGTCTGCCTACAACTCCATAGCAAAAAACTTTAATATATACAAAACCTAGAAAAAGATGTACTTAGGAACAACCCTAAAAGGAAAATGTACAACAACAAAAAAAAAAAAACTTAGGACCATAATTCTTTTGTGAATACTACAGACAGATTCCTAGTTATGTGCTACATCACTCTATGTATGAGGAAATAAGAATTTCTTTCTGTGCTTTAGGACTCAAGAAGAAAATTCTACCAAGAGAGCTCGAGACAGTACAGGAAATACTAACAATTGAGACTAGCATTAAAAGAAAATAATCACGACTAAAAGCAGAGTAGAGGTAGTAAAAGAAATACTAACAATAGAGACTCACATCATTTTGAGCTGCCTACTGTCCTCAACAGCGCCATCACATTTGTTATACCCTATTTCATTCAAAGGTACATTTTCATCAACTATCGCATCACTTTCAGTTATCACATCACTTTCAGTTGCGGAGATGGGTGGATTTGGAGTATTTTGAGCTGGTTTGACAATAGCACATTCTTCACGCACACTTCCATGCACTTCTTTCAGCAGCATCTTTTCAGCCTTTTGCATGTTCTCAGTCTCCTGCTTATTCACCACTAAACAAGACGATGGAGAATGTTCTATAGCTTCAGACTGAACAACCTGAGCCACGCAAGCATCACTTTTATTGCCTTCTTCATTCAGATATTCACAAGTATTGCCCAATGAATCACAAGCATCTTGGTCCTTGCTTTTGTCCTGGCCAGATAACTGAGAAGGTATGCTTAATGAGCATATCCCCGAGGCCTTGTTTGCAGATGAATCGACAGTATTAGGATCCAAGGATGGATCAATTTTAGTAACTTGACAGCATTGTACGACTGGAAGATCAGACTCACTAGTTAGCAGCTTAATGTTCTCAGGGCACACAGCTTCAGGAACACTAGCTGTCTGAGCTTCGCCAGCTGGCAAACTGCTAACTTGATTAGATTGGGGTCCACCTGCTTCATCATTTGGTGTCTTGCTAAGCTCATTCCACCCCATAGCATAGTCTCTCCCTCCCACAGTCTGAACGCAAGCCTCAGATGGAGACATTCCATCATGAGGTTTCTCCACAGGAGATGGTGCTACATTAACCATGTCACCTGAGAGCTTAGCAGACACTTCAAAAAATCTAGATTCTTCAACTGCAAAAGTATCATGACTAGAAATGATATCATAAGGGCTTGTCTGTGCTGTTGCACTGACCAGGGTGTCCTTGGATGATCTTTCTTCAACCTGTGAAGAGCTATTGGCCTCATGATTACCATAAAATGCTCTACTCATCCTGACTCTGGCTCGTTTCACCAGAGGTAAGTGCTCATCCCCATTATCTTCACAAGGCCTCTCAGTAAACCTTTCATGAGAATTTCGTGATGTCTGAACATTATCACGTGCTCCAGCCTCAGGAACTGCTTCTGCTTCAACTTTAGCCTGAGGATCAACAACATCACTGGTTCCACGTTTTCTGGTCGGCTTTCTCTTCTTTCTCTTAACCATGATATTAATTTGGAAATTAAGCCCCTTGTTGAGCTCATAATCTCCTTCAAGAAACTGTCCACCAATATCGATTTGTTCAACTTTGGAACCAGAATCTACACCATTGCCTTCATTCCTAGTATTATTATCTGATTCAACCGTCGCAATTTCAGAGGCATTTTCTTCGTCACTCCCATGGGAATTTAAAGCTGATGAAGCCACATCATCTGATTCAGAATGACCTGATGATCTTCTGATCCTTTTTCCCCTTCTTAATGCTCCATCATCCACGTCATCGATACTCTGTCCACCATCGCTGTTTTGCAACATGGAGCTTTGAAGCTTATCTGTTTGCAACCTTGATGAACTTTTAGAGCGCTGAACCGAACATGTATTCTTCTGTGGTGCACACCTTTGAGATCGTACCCCTCCATTTCTTTTCCTTGAAGAATATGTTGCTATCTTGCGTGGTTCTTTAACAACTGCACTATCACAGGCTTTGTTACGTGGTACACTGTTATCACGCAGGGCTAGCATTTGTTCAGCAGCTGAAGCATCCTCATTTTGCATAGTAGATTCATCTCTACCATGACTAGGAACAGACTTCATTTGTGTTATACTTGTCCCAGTTGGAATTTCACTGACCTGAGGCATCAGTGTAGCATCCTCAGCACTCTCAAGAGTGGCTTCTTCAGCAGATTTGGGATCACCAGCTTGTTCTTGCTGCTTAAGCTTCTCATAACTCTCTATAATCTCCTTTACAGCACGAAGAAAATCTGAACCTTTCGCATGGCGTTTTGTCAAAAGTGATTGCTTCCTCTCGTCTGTAAATGCTTCAACATCGGTATGATTGCAGAAAGCTCTGCACAGTAATAAAAAAAATTAACAAAAAAATGTCACCAACTCCATATGATTACATATAAACAAAATTCTCACTGATCTTGAGGGCAGAGCAGAAATCGAGCACTGAGCAGTCTACATCGCCATTTTTTTCAGGTCAACAATCAAATTTGGCTCTTGCAAAGCTATGCTGTTCACAGAATGCTCTCTAGACTACAATGAATTCATCACTATTCTCTATTCAACCTAACAGATTGAGAACAATTTTCAAAGGAAAACAAAAATAAACCAATCCCAAAGCTTCAAGAACAATCTAAGTATCTAACTATAAAACTCTGAACTAAAAAACCTTCTTACTCGTGTCCGTCTTCTTATTAACACATGGAAAAGATACTTTGCAGGGAAAGAATGCAACCAAAATCAAATCAGAAAATTATGTTAAATCCAACAGCACAATATAAATGTCCAAGAAGAAGCAAATGTTCCCAAGTATCTAGATACAGAGACATTAGGCACAACATAAGGACGATGTGAGTGATTCAACGGGGTACCCCCTGGGTGAAAATCACACACATTTATATCTATATAGATACATAAATTTATTACGCTGCCACTAAATTAACATTAACAGCTCAAATGAACCCAGATGTGTATACCAGGCTGGGTTGTGATCAAAGACTGGAAATTATAAACTGTGATGTCATTTAGGTGTGGGGAACAAAGTGCATCCTGCCTAACAATATAATCTAACATTGAAGCCGATAAACAAGCCTACTGATTTCTCCACGCTAATCTAAGAAGAAGAAACTCAGTGACAAAAAGAACAAACATTAAAATTAAAATCTTAGCATTCAACCACAGAGTACGACCATAAGAAGAAAAGAAAAAAATGGAAGAGGGAAAAGGTTAAGGGATGAGAACTCACATCTGTTGTGTTCCAAAAAAGTGAACAAAGACTTTCTTCAAATCGGTTAAAGCTCCCCACTTTTCTGGCTCACTAACCTGAAATCGCATCCAAAAATAAGCATAAGGACCAGAAATCGAAAAATAGAAGCTAAAATTATTAAGCATATTACCACAAAGATTTGACAAGAATATAAATAATTATGAGATATCTGATGCGGGAGCAGCTGAAACAAGGATACGTCTCTACTAACAACAAGAATGGATTTCAAATCCGACTTAACAAGCAGAGGTACATGTGCAAATATAAACCCTAGATAAATAGGACCATGTGGAGAAACTGGGAAACTCATCTATCGAGAAGCAAACGCAAATACTAGACAGATTAAAGATGATAGGCACATACCGCGGCAGGCCAAGCAGGAAAACCTTTGACTTTGGCAAGCACAAGGTCGCCCACCTTCCACTTTAGGCAGGCGGCAGCTACGGCGGCAGCCTTACCACCGCCTTTCCTGCGACTCGGAGCCATCAAAAAGACGGTAAAATATTAAACGAACGAAGCGAATTCTCTAACACTCGAACGAAGTAGAGCAAGAATCGGAGGCGAGATTGGCAGTGTCTAGGGTTTTCGGTGACAGATGAACTCGCAGGCATTGAAACCCCGGCCAGACGGTGGAGAAAATGAAACCCTAATCGAGGAGAAGACGATTGTCTGTTTCGCTTTTGGGATATTTTTTTTTTGGTTGGGGAAGAAGAAGGTGATTCACACCCGAACCCAAAAGAAAAAAAAAAAAAAAAACTGATGATATTATTGTTGAATGGTCCTTGTTATAACATGTACCTTAGCTGCTGCGTAGGTTAACACTTCCCCTGCTTTTTTCGCTTTTCTACTTCAAAATCCAAAATATTATTGAGGCCCATTATTGATTGGCTCAACATGGCCCATTTACGAGGTACGTTTTTGAAAGAGGAAGAGATGATTGTGGATTGTGGATTGTGGATTGTGGATTGTGGATTGTGGTGGAGAGACTATGAAGCAAAGAGATTAGTCACCAACATTTTGATTTGGAATTTTTGGCCAAAATTCTTGAAGCAATTTCGTGTTCCCCACAAACCTATTATTTGATTCATTCATTTCTAAACAAAAACGCCTGAATCAATCTAAAATCCAAGGTCTATCTATAAAAAATTATTATGGCATATAGATTGATGTTCTTGTTACCTCCCTACCACTTCAAGTTGAGGGCCAAATCAAGAATGGCTTCAACTTGGCGGATGGTTCGTTGCTTCTCCTGCTGCTTAAACTTAAGTGCTATAGCTTCAGGATCAAGCTCTTCCCCTTTGCTACCAGTTTCAGCGTCTTCCTCTATCCTCACTTCCTGTAGCAATGCATCCACTTCTCTTACAAAGTCTACTCTCAGAAGGGTGTTGTCTGTCTCAGTCTCAATGGGCGGTCGCAACTGTCCTTGATGCTAAAAACACACAGCATTGATTCTTTTTGTTCAAAGGCTTTTTCTCCATAAAAAAAAAGAACAAAGGACACACCATATCAATGTCGAATCCCGGAGGCATTAGAATGCTGAAGGGGTCTTCTCGGGGGAAGGTCTCCGCCATGCGTTTTCTGCAGTCCTTGAGCCAAGCATCGTCTTCAAAGCCATCATGCATGTTTAGAAGATCATTCAGCAGATTCATTGCAGGACTTGCTTGCCGTTTTAAGATCTCTGTCTGGATATAAGGATTCACTTTCACCTTAGCCTCTCTAATACGATTTGATTATCTTCCTTGAAAAATGGAGTAAGTTTGAAGATCTTATAGCATAGAAAACAATCAAGAGAAACAATTACCTCGACTCTTCTATACAAAAGATCAAGACTTCTTATGGCGTCCTTCTCATCCTGAAAGTAACACAGGAGTGAAGACCACAGAATCAAAGGGAACATTTCATCATGAAAATCACAAGGAAAAAATGTTACATCGCGGCGAGCAAGGTCAAGCCGGTTCCATATGATCATGAGGACAAGCTCGTCAAGTTGTCCTTTCTCGGCTGCTTCTTCAATTCTCTACAGAAATTCTCTTATAATAAATAATAGGACTTGAGTTAAAATTCTTGTATAAGGGGACTTTTGATTTAACCTCTTCGACTTCCTCGGCAGCTCTGATGAAGCTGGAGACGAGCTTTCTGGCTTTCCTTAAGTCTTGCTCAGGGAATTCCTTCAACCTCATGCCAATTTCACGGTATTCTTCAATCTTTCTCTCCTCTTCTTCTTCTTCCTCCCGCTGCATCCGCCGCAGTTCTTTGGTCTTCTCTCTCTGTTGAGCTTGCCATTCCTGGTATAAAAAAAAAAAAAGCCCTACCGACTTAGAAAAAATCAGGCTAATAATACACAGAGAAACAAATGGATGAGGAGACGGACATCATCGTAATACTCCGGTGGCATTCCTTGTAGAAGCACTTCATCTTTTCCCGAGCATCTTCTTCGGAATTTAGCTGAGAAATCGGCAGGAGAATTTAGACCCCCGAGAAACTGACCTGTAGAAATCGGGAACTCCGTAGTCAGCGTCTTCGTAGCAGAAACAAGCCGAGAGCTGAATAGAGGGGATGCGCACGTTAGAACCAACGACGTCGCCGCCATAGTCGAGCTTCAAAGCTTATTTGTCTTCGTCTGCTGTATGTAATCATCTCCTGAGTAAATTCGGACTATCTCTATTCTTCTACCACATTTAGTCCCCCTAGTTTCGAATTTCACAAATTAAACCCCGTGGCGTAGCCTAGTAGTAGATAAAATGTCTCAAAGAAATATCTGAAAATGTTTTGGCTTCTTGATATTCTAATGGTCACCAGTTACTCTAAAATATAAATATATAATATAGACAGAGCTAATCTGAGGAATAAAATCACAGTTTAGATTAGTCGAGAAAAGAAAGTTGAAAGACGTAAAGCTAATGTTGATGGCAAGTCTCCACAATGAGTTCAGTAGCTGCACCCATCGTCCCCAGACCGCCGGCACAAAGCAGAGCGAGAGCCAAGTCTTGCTCGTTCCACTGCCTCAGACTTTTGCTCAGTCTCTTTATTACTTCTACATCCACCTCTAGCACCCAAGCCGGCGTGCATTGCACCATCAGGCTCACAAAGCCTGTCACGTATGCTTGCCATGTAGCCCAATCACAGCCCAGTGATATCTTCCCTTCCAAGGCACTCACCATAAACTCCAAATGCAGCCACAGAACCCTTGGCCGACGTTTTGAGGCAGGAGATGAGGAGTCCACTCCCCAAGCAAATGCACTGCTCAGGATTGCAAAGTAGGCTAAAGCATACCCTCTTAGCATCGGAATCATACCTCCCAACTCATCTTCTTCTCCGTGAACCGATATGAACCAAGACGGTAATGTCTCCTTGATCAGAGCCTGAACCAGGTTCAGGCCACCAGAGATCCACACCAGAGAGGCTCCCAGGGAAGCTGCCAGCTTGACACGTCTCATTGCCAAAGAAAGTGAAACCTGCCCAATCCCGTACCTCGACCCATCTTTCGTTTTCTTCAATTTCTCTGCTTGCCCTGCTGGTAGCTCCCTGGTGGCAATGCTCTTCACAGAGAACATCAGAAGGGAGAGGATTTCTTCTGTCAGGAACATGACATCTCTGATCGATCTGTGCACTTTTATGTACAAGATTCCTGGGGCAGCTGTGGAAATTCCTCCAGAGTAACGGGAGCCAAAGCCATGGCCAAGGAGTGCACCCACTCCCCCATAGCTGCAGAGTTGGGAGGTAGGTGTTAGACCAAGAGTGCAAGTGAAGCAGCTTCTGAGGAGCTGAATAACAGCATCTCTGTTGTGGTGGAACACAGTTCTGGAGGCTGAAAAGATAAGAAAGTCGCTCCAGCGCTTCACTTTCTGGGTCCACAGCGATGTCACAATCGGCATGCAGGGCCAGGGGCAAGCGGCAGCAAGGGAGTCTAAGGCCGGTCCGACAAGTACAAGGAAGCGCTCTGTTGCTTTGTCAAGCTTGTAGGTTATAGTGAGGCTGACTAGTGCAGCGAGAGGCAAGGGAAGTGTGGCCGCAGAGATTCCATCTGCAAAGACAGACGTGTTTAAGCAGTGAGAGTTTTTTCAGCGTAATCATTGTATTCATTTCTTCCAGCAAGTTTTTTTACACTTTCTCCGCAGTTTCAGTTTTATAGATATCACAATTGTTTACAGGTCTAAGCAAGACCCTCCAGGGACATGTTGTCCGAGACTGCCATGACTGCATCTAAGGTTATAACCTTTCATGACAAAACCCCTAGAATCTGAGAATATCCACTTTACTGAGAGGAGAAAAGCATTACCTGCTGGAAGCCTTGGGACGTCAACGCCAGTAGCAGCTAAGATCTTTTCTATCTGTTGCTCAACGCTTGCTAAATTTGCAGCAGGACTAGGCCAGTCAGTTCCGTTCATGGAAACGGGCTTCCACAGACCTCGTGTTACTTCTGAAGAAAAGTAGCTAACCATGGTTCCTAGTGTTGCCGGCAGAAAATCAGCCAAGATTTTAAGACCTGAAACAAATCAAGGGGCAGATTAAGATCACGCCCACCCAACTACTAGCTACCTTTTGAAGTAGCGTTTACGATGCATCCAGACAGTAAGACAATAAAATAGCTTATGATCGTCAGATGTAGGTAAGTATCCCCTCGTCATTAAGAAGGTATCACTTTCTATATTTTCAGGGGAATGGACAAACCTGTTGCTAGTTCCCGGGGAGAGAGTGATCCATGAGCACATGCAGTAAGAGCAGCATCAAGCACAAACGGGGCCGCTTCCAAGATATCCCATGCAGGTAACTTGAGTTGATCAGACGAGTCGTCCACCCCAGAAGTAGATAAACTACTGCTCCCTGAAGATGGAGTCAGTGACTGACTACCACCTTTATTTGCCTTCTTGAACATCATGCTAAGGAGAGAATCAACAATATGATGTACTGGGCTTCCTGTCTTTAGTTCAGAGAGAATTGAAGCCATACATTCCTGATGCTGCCGGTACCACTGTTTCAGTCTGGGGAATGAATCCATGAAGATAGGATCCACAGAGATATTTATCACTTTCGAAAATCTTCGACGTGCCATGCGATCCTTTGGGGACTTTCCAAAACATTCCAGACGGCAATTTCTTACTAACAAAAGATACTCGGGGCTTGGTTGAGGGCCCACCGGCGGAACGTCTCCCAAGACGTAATCTAGTGGTGGGTGATCAAATCTCCATAGCCTTAGAAGAAGTGTAAATGCAGTGGAGAAAACAGCATGAGAGGAGATTACTTCGCCAGTCGGGAGAGTCCACGTAATGTTCGGAATGCCAGAGCCAAACGCTTCACATATTGGCATTAAAGCACCAGCAAGTAACGGGACCTGGCAAAAGAAGCATAAATACTAATCCATTGAAAACAGCACATTCTTCGTTAATTGTCAAATAACAAAAGTTGAAGAGGAAAAAGAAAACCTACCACCCCATGCAATGAGAAAATATGAACACAATCTATGGGTGATATCCCGACAAGAAGAACATTAAGAAACGGCGCAGAACTGATTAGATGGCTATAACTCCCAGAAAGATCAGCTGGAGCCGGAGGTGAGAGTAAAGTTACAATGAAGATAATAACATGCTCCTGACATCAATCAGAGATGGGGTTAAAACATAAGAGATGAGGAGGCTGCAGAAAGAAGATCTGAGGTGGAGCAATGGGAGCAATAAAACTTTCTAGAAAAAGCAGATCACGGAAGTAGAATCTAAGTGCCACACATACCTGTATGCTCCAACCACGAAATAGAGATGCTCCACAGAGAATAGAAGCTGCGGCTATCTTCTCATCTTCTGAACCAGTAGTTGCAACCTCGTACATCTTTTCAATCTCTGCTAAGCTTCCATCATATTAATGAGCTTAATTCAGTTGCCTTAAAGCTGAGAAGGTTAAAAAACAGGAACTCCACTTACAGAGTCTTGGAAATAGACAATAGTCAACTAAAAAACAGGCTCTAGTAATTGAAAATGGTATTTAAAACATGCAACTAGAAATATGGTCTTTTTTTCCTACCAATGCCCCGTTTGAACTAATGACCTAAAGAGAAATATAAACAGAGATCGATCATAGATGTAACATACCTAGAAGCTGGAGTTGTGATTAGTGAATTTGTCAATGACGGTGTTAGAGGAGAACCCTTCATCGCTAGAGACCAACAAGAAATATTACCAGCGATACCTTCAGGAACTTGATTGGTTCCCCCAATTACAAAGCCTGGCCAGAGATATGCAGATGTGTCCAACAGATTTCTGGAGATACAAGCTTCCACTATCAGATGGCGCATGTTACCAGCTGTGCCAACACATATCACAATTACAAAACCTCATTCAAATACACAGTTAATAGTTTAAAATGACTAGGAAGAACAAGCCAACAAGCATGGCACTAGAGAGAACACTAACAAACAACTCCAATGAAGAACCTTAAGCCGTCACAACCACAAATAAAACAACAGCAGATACACACCCACAACAGCAAACATCTTTAGAGTAAACAAGGAAAACCGCACTATTGGTAAAAATTCAAAGCCAGAATGCTGGCTCAGTTTATCATTGAAAGAGCAATAAGTAAGTAAATGGCAAGTTTACTTACAGCAGCCACTTGGAGATTCGCTCATGCTTGTATTTTCATAGGAACCATTACCATTTGTAATGCCGGAGATGAAAAGAACTGCTTTAGCAGCAGCTTGATTGGCAACGGACTGTACAGAACGAGGTGGTGTCAGCAAGCTTTCATAATCACCAAGTTGTTGTAAGCTATTGACTAATCCTTGTCGACATTTTCCTTTTTTCTCTTTACACTGGTTGCTTGGGCTAGATGAAGTTTGATCAATCCACTGACTTTCTTCTTCTTCAATAATATTGGCAACTGCAAGTGGAGTGACAGATAGTAATACACAAAGAAAAGTGTCGGTGCGGGGCACAGGACCCTCGATTGGATCTCTTTCCTTCAAATTACAACATATATTCGTCAGTAATCTTTAAGGAGTATGTGAGTCAGAAATTTAAAATACTTCATACGACACGACGTTCTCATTATATGACCTTCTAACTATAAATCATGCATAAGTTTATATGTGCAACAGAAGTTGGTGCCTCACACATGTTAGTACTTACTTCAGATAATATTTCCATCATATGAATGATAAAGCAATAACGCAGACATAGATTCTCCTAAAAGCACCAAGACCAGAACAACCTACCCTACCTCTAAGAGCTTAAAATTCTTAGTATTGTCAGAATAGATACCTACCCTTTGCACAAGGCGTAAGGCTGCTAACCATAGAGCTAGAAAGGCATCATGCCATGTTGTACTGTTAGCTGCCTGCAATGCTTTTACAAGACCTGCAATTGTTCGTTTATGTTCAAAATAAAGCCCATAATAATAAAATATGTAGGTGTTTATGAGAGGAGAAATGCAAGAAAGACAATAGAGATAAATCTACTAACCAGTTAGATTTTCAACAGCGCTGGCTGCTGCAGCTTGTGTCCCATCCATTATGTCTTCGAAGAAAAGATCAATGGGCAACCAAAGTGCAGAGTCACTATTCAATGCTAGCTTAGAACCAGAGGAGACAATCGCATGAAATTCTCCTCGAGGGATGGTCCTGCTCTCCCTTTCAAGAAATTTTTGTGTATGATATGCCAGCTGTGTTAGGGCTTCTGGATTAATATATTTTGACTTCCTAACTGTCACTGATTTGGTTGCCAGCACTCTAAAGCGCTGACTGAAATCTTCCCAGTGAGTTGGCCTGAAGAGAAAGGAAACTTAGAGGGCTTGATTGAGAAAAATCTGAAGAAGTTGTTACAATTTAATTCATTTGCAAGAAATCAAGCTCATGGGGCCAGCAGTGTCCACAATGATACAAATCAGACAGCTAACAGAGAAATAAGAGGTGCTAGTTAAAAGGTCTTACATGTTTTGACTTGCCAAGTGAAGAATCCTCGATGTGACTTTATTCTGCAAAAAGTCTTGGATTAGCTCGATAGCGATTTCAGTGTTTGCTTTCTCAAGTGCATCATGGTTTTCATTTCTCTTGACAGAATTTTCCAGCCCATCTATTTCCATGTCATGTGGCCTGCTTGGCCATTTAGACCTCTTATTAGATGTGAGTTCCAAAAGCCCTTCCTCGTCTAGGGATGCATCAACTAGCTGCCAGATAATGGAGAAGACAAATGCAAGGAGAATACTTCCCGGTTCTTGATCTTGGACACCAAAGGTTTCAGAAAGATGGAGGATATCATCGATGGAATTCATTGTTCTGTTCATTTGTAACAAATTAGTATGCATTTTACAACCTAGGAGAAGAGAGATCAAATTTAGCATTATGATTACTCATGTAAAAACCTTTACATTCATATCTTATTGCACTGCCAAAAAGAAAAACGAACCACATGGACAAAACAACAAGATTAACTGAGATAAGGAACTCACTTGTGATATCCTGGTGCTCTGATTTGAGGCATGAATGAGAATGCATGTCTCTTGAGGAGTTCCATATAGAGCCTATAGGCAGCGGGGTGAAGCTTTCTGTTTGGGATTACCCTAAAATTAGGAACCAAAAAGAATTAAAAGGATGGACAAAACAAAGAAGAAAAACAGTAAGATGGTTGTTAGACTGTAGTGTTCTAAAGGTGATAACAAAAGAAAGTGATATACAGACTGTTTGAGGGAAATATATCAAGAAGTGGCATAAATGATAGATGGCTCCAGAACCAAACCCAAAGATTTTGCAAGTACCAACTTTAAGTATAGAAGAGCAATTAGTAGACGACTCAAAAGCAATAGTACCCAGTGTGATAATCCAAAGACTAAGAGTGAATGATTTAATAAAAAAAAAAAAAAAAAGATGAATCCAGGAGTTGTTGTTGTTACCTTGGGGAGAGAAGGGCGAGGACAAGTAGGGGAGGGACGATATTGACGGATATAGCTTTTTCGAGAAGCTTCCATGAAAGAGGAGAGTGATTTTCCCAGAAGATGTGGGTGACGAGGAATTGAGCGAGGTCCGGAGAGGGAAGGGAGATTCCAGCAGACGCGAGGGTCAAGCGAAGCTGAAGAGCCCACTGAAGCGGATCGACGTTCTTCTCCTGGGTTGACCTAATCAGCGACGTAACCGAATCCCAGAGAGTCGGTTGGAAATCCGACGGAGCCACGGCCATTTGGACGGGGGGACTACTAAGCTCCTGGACTTCTTCTTCTCACATAAATTTCATTTTCCTTTCGGCTTTATATTCCAGAGAGAAATGTCAACAAAATTTCTAGAGAGAAATGTCAATTTTTCAATTTTTAATGTTTGTGAGTGAATACAATAAAGTTATTACCTACAGTATTTGAAGAAGAATATAATAACAAGATACAGATTTTAAGTTTTTTAACTAGGAGCGGGAGAGTCGTTTTCAAGGAAGCCATATCATATTTGATTCTCCAAAAACTAACGGGAAAAGCTCTTAACAATCATCCTCACATCAAACAAAAAGAGACTTTAAGGGAGGAGGAGATAAGGCTTTCGTGGGATTTCATTTCATGGATTGCTGAGTCGGTCAAGGCACCAGCACCGGTACTCTGACGTTGAGTTTTGGTACAGCTCTTCCGCCTTCATCTTCTCTAGATCGCTCTGTTTCCACGAGTTCAGACCATTCCCTTCTCCCTTTCCACTACACCCATGCTCTTGATCCCGCATTCTCTTGTATAGTCTCATCGCAGATACACAGTCCTCGTACGGCTCGTGCTTCCCGCTTTGGATCTTGTATCTGCACATACAAACCAAACCAGTTTCTATCCCAAGTTTTCAGAATCCAATGTCAAGAAATGGAGCAAGGATAACTTACCCGAGATACGACTTTGTGAGGTACCTCAGCGATTGGCTTACAAGATTTGTCTTCATCAACGGCACATATTTTGCAGTGTCTCTGAGGTGAAGCATAGCAATTATATTAGTGTGAGGCAGGAAAAGAAAGATTTCAAGCAAATAAACACCCAGACTACAACCATCTATGAAACGGGTCAGTTACCTCAACAAATTGCTAGGGTATTCAAGATTCAAGCAACTCATATCATGCCTAAGGTCATGACCAACAAGAAGAAGCCTCCCAGCCCCATCATTATGTCCACCGCATAGGATCGAAACAACTCTCGCTCGTACATCCTCAAGTGGCATACCATCCTTCAAATCTTCCTCACTCAATCCAGTTACCTCGTGCCTGAACATGAGGCGGGTGAGATTTAAAAGGAAGAATTATTAAACAAAACAAGCACAAATGTCCACAAGCAGAACCTGTAATCTGTGACAGGGAGTAGTGGTCGAACGTGAGTGGAGAGGATGACATTCTCGTCTTCGTCAACCAGGCAAACCGATGCGCACTGATCAATAGTGCCGTCATCACCACCACCAACCATTTCACAGTCAAGTGCCACTGCCTTGAGACGTGAACCAGTATGAGACCTAGAAGGATTTCTTTGGGTAGACGTTCCCTGATATGAATAAAGCACTAATCATTAAGGGGAAAACAATACACTCGGAGGCATATATATAGTCCCACATTATCCAATTTGACACAGAATTCCCAAGAAGCGAGTCACAGAACTTACAAGAGGACGAGGTGGGGAGAGCTGACACTTGTTTTTATGGTCGGCGAGAGCAATGGCCTCCTCAAAGACTTGAAGACAAAGAGTACAGCCTCGTTTAGAGAAAATGGCTTTGCAGTTTCCTTTGAAAAGATGGTCTGGAACTGAAATAGATTGGAGAGACGGAATCAAACAACCACCATGATGTGGAAAACAAAATACAAATAAATACAAGCATACCGTTAAGGTGTTCCCTCACAGATTCGAAGGATTTACAGTGCTTAAGGCAAACCCCACAACGAGGCTGGTGAAGTGAGTGGTAGGCAATCTTCATGTGCTCAACGAGGTGTTCGCGTCTATTGAACATCTTGTAGCACGCTACGCATCTGTGCCTGCTAAAATATCAAACTCAATTTTACACACCCTAACACTAATTTATCAAAGCCAATTCGCGAATGCCCAGAAGGTGAAGAAAATAACTGGGGAAAAGCTGGAGATGAGAGAGGCGAACCTTATCTTTCGTTTCTTGAAAGAAATCGACCGAGAATCCATGGAAAATTAAAGCGATGAAACGTAACCGCCTGGGGTTTTGTGTCAACTAGGAGGAGGAGGAGGAGGAGGGTTCGAGTTGGGACTTGATTTTACCTTTTATAGCAGCATCCTATCTTTCTTTATTATTGCAACGCCACCCCTCTACATGTTACGAAATTACAACCATGCCTAACAATGTTTAGAAATAACACTCAAATCCTTTAGATTTTGGAAACAATAGTTAAGCCCCCTCAACTTATAAAATCTAAACCCTAGTGGAAAATCCATTGACTACTGACTGACTCAAATAATTAGTAATATATATACTAGATTTTAACCCGCGGTACACCGCGGGGCTATATTTTCTTAAAAAAATCAAAATGTAATTTGTTTGATAGATTATTTTGATTGTTAATTTTAGGATTTCACCCGTGGTATACGATCTTTTATAAATATCAACCCAAACCCGTCCCATCATATTATCCGTCCCGTGAAATTAAACATTATTTAGTTATTTTTCTTTTTAATAATACTTTTATTTAAAAGCTATATAATTCAAGTCAATTTAAAAATTTCTTTTAAATGGTTCCCATAAGATATATATACATGTATTTACTTATTATTCTATACATGTTATTCATTTATTAATAATAAAAGAAAACAAATCCTTTAAATTAGATATTAACTAAAATAAACGCACCATAATTACTTATTAAGTAACAACCAATAAATTTCACCAAAAAATAGGTAACAACCAATAAATTCTAAACGTAGTAATTAAAGAATGAGATATTAAAAAAAATATATCAAATAAGATATAAGAATCTTAAAATAATTGATCATCTAAATAATTTAATTGTTAGTGTCGATTTTAATGCCTTCATTAATGTGGATTTTTTTTTTTACAGAGAAATATTTCCTAAAGATTATCACATTAATGACTCAGAAAATTAAGGAAGATATGAATTTATGATTCTCGAAATCGTATTGGTAATATCTTTAAGTAATATTTTTCAAATTTAAATAATTAATGCCAATGGCATTCATCCGTAAATAAGGTCCAACTCCAGGATTTATTTGCTAAAAGTCATTCAAAAATGTATATATAGATATAGATATATATATGATGATATAAGTTCATGTCAAAGTGTAACAGATCCGAAGAAATACGACATGAATGATTTCCATTGTAAAGCATACTATCAACCATTGACAGATGCTAAATTTTACAAATAAAGCATGTGACTAATACATAGTTTAGATTTTCCTTTTGAAAGAATGTGACTAATCTATATATATAATAGGAGAGTTTTCTCTCTTCTTAGGGTGTCCACATCAGTGACACATCAGCATACACGTCAGGATCTTTCCTTATTTTTGACAAAATTAAAAAACGAAAATTAATCAATAAAATCTAAAAAATATATATTTTCTCAAGTAATAAATTACCACTTAAATCATTTTGGTTTATAACAAAATATAAACTATATATATTACCTTATACAAGTTCCACATAATTTATTTTTTTAAACAAGAAACATTAAAAAAAAATTAATTCATATATAACTTTTATATCATCGTCTTTTAATAAAAGAAAATATTTTTTCATAAACAATAACAGGATTTAATATAAATAAAAAGTAATATAATACAACACACAAAACTATGTGATAAAAAATAAGATAAATATACAAGTACACATTTCAATTTTACACAAAATAAGAAAGGATTTACTTTTAAAGAAAAATAAATTTTTAAATTTTTTTAAAAATAGTGTTAAAGTCGAAAATTCTGTTACCGATAAAAATATTTAAAATATGAAAAGATACTGGTTAAATATAAAGTAAGATAATTTCATTTTACTTAGAATAAGTAGTAATTTATTTTTAAAATAGAATATTTATTTATAATTTCTAAATATATTTGTTAGTAGTAAAGTACAAAATTTATGTTACCAATTAAAAATTTAGAAAAATTCATTGTATATTAGTAAAATTCAGTAGCGTTGGAGATTAGAAGAAAAAATGTATTCATTGGAAGTTTGATGTTCTTTTTGGTGTTAATCTTCACTTTTGATGTTCTTTTCTACATGATTCATCTCCAAACTCGAGTACTTCAAGATTAACAAGATTACCATACTAGAAACAGCTGCAACAAAATAAAAATCAAAATAAGCAAAAATCTAAAATGAAGAGTTGTTAAAATAAAAATATGCATATAGATATCAGAAATGGATGATAATATCCATAGATTTCCAACAACATTTGGTATATTAAAAATGTGAAAGAAGAAATAGTCAATGTGGTTGAAAAAAAAAAATTAGGTGCTATGAAAACACACAATGAAAATAATTAAAAAGATAAAGTATCTGATATATATATAAGAGAATAAATCACAATAAATTTAATTTTATAATTAATTACAACAATCGAGATAACATAGAAATTTAAAAAAAAAAATCAAATCAATGATATTAGTCACGATGAAAGTAAAAAACAACAATAATATCTAATAATATGAATTTAAGCACAATTACAATTTAGAAACAATTAGAAAAATACACGTATCATCAACCGGTCTCATCATCAACCACATAAATAAAAACATTAAAAAAATCTTAAATTGATAATTATTTTTACACAAACTCATATACTATTTTCTAATATATAAACCCGCGCATCGCACGGGCCTATTTCTAGTAATAATAGATAGATAGTTTCTCTCTGATTGGTAAAGTGATAAATAAATATTAGTTGAAATAATGTGGATTTCTTAGTAGCCAAAAAAAAAAACAATTCATGCTAATCGCAGGGAAAGAATAATGAGAAAAGCATACCAGTGGATTGAAATAAGTTAGCAAAAGCTAATGGAAGGTGGCCTAATTTTGAGAATCTACTGTATTTAATATCATGTTTAATTAGTGCTTATGTATTGGAAGATTATATATAATCTCCTCCTGAAAGCTGATGCATGCATAATTCTTAATTAAATCCTGACAGGGACAATCCAAAACAAAAAAAAAGGACAAAAACAATGAAGAAGAAAGAAAGAAACAGAGAGTGGAATCAGAATCCGATCCCTTTCTAACAGCACTCTTCCTTTTTTGAAAAACTTGTAAAAGTTTCCAGCTTTCCTCTTTTCAACAAGTTGTCCCTTAATTAATTTCTTCTGTCGAAAATCATAGATTTTGCATTATAAAGAGCTCGTTAATGTCACTATCTTCTCTGCACAGATCACATTTAGTACGTACTTCCCAAGCTGACATCGATGGCAAAGAACTCATCAGAGAGTAGTAGCAAGAAGAAGCAAGAAAACAGAGTGTGCGAGAAGTTCTTCAGAGCAGTGACTAGTCCTGTCCGAACCGTTCGCCGCATCTCCACCAAACCTTCACCAGCAGAGGCTGTTCGCGTCAAATTTGCAGAGACACCGACTCAGGCAGCCAAACCCATTACAAAGATGAAACCGGTGATCGCTCGAGTGGAGACTAGTATCAAAACGGACGAGAGGTTCACCGACTATATAAAGAAAGCGAAGCTCAAGATAAGGGCGATGACGAATGTCGGTGATATGATGAAGGAGGATGCGTGGGAGACAAGTGAGACAGATCAGACACGTCATGATCATCATCACCATGTCCCGATCTCTCACGTAGGAAGTAGTGGGAGATCATCAGATCAGTTCTCTGAGTACATAAAGAAGGCAAAGATGAAGCTCAGATCCTCTTCCACCATTGCTCGTGCTAACCCGACTTTCAAGTGATGAATCCTGCAGGCCTAAGAGAGATTGATTTATATTATCATATATGTATATGTTTTGTGGTGTGATACTTTGATTAATATTGACAATAACGGACATGGATTTGTTGTATTAATGAAAACTACGTATATACGTAATACTACTAATTAATGATCATTTTACTATATTTTGTTGTTACATTGTAGAGCCAGTGGTTTCTTTTCTTAAAAATGTACAAATATCATCATATATGGGCTGCGAATGGGCCGTCAAATATGAGTCTCATCATATATATAGAGATGATAATTAATGAATATAATGAGAAAGTTTGGAATATAATGAAATGACATGCACCGATGCACGATCGCTAAATCCCGATAATTTAATAGTACAACGATCGCCTCTGAATGGGCTGTTATTGAGAAGGTTTTTGTTGTACGTAACATGACGTCGTGACCTGTACTGAATAATATTCATTCATTTTGAAACGATAACTCTTTTTAATTTGTTGAGTGCCAAAAAGGGCAGATTCTGTTGAGATTTCGTTTTCTTATTCTACTTTAATCCTTGCCTTAACACGATTTCCTTGGACTATATTTTTTTTTTATCTCGGATTATCTCCTTTCTCAGTTAATATACTTAATTTTAAACATTACAGTATATTTAATTTTATGTTTTTACTTTCTACTACTGATTTTAAAATTTTGCAATGGATAACTTAATTAATTATTCGTTCTTTCACTTCGTTTACACAATATATCATAAATGACATGTGTTTGTGTAATAATAAAAATCACCATATCTATATCCAAAAATATACACGTGTTTTAATCTCGTAATTTTGAATATATACTTGTAAATTCTAAAAGATTTATCTAATTAAGAACATTATATAATACATCTTGTATCCGATATGGTTAAATTTGAAATCCTATATATATATATATATATATATATATATATATATATTAGCTAAATGTTCAAAATGAAAATTTACATTGTTTGCAAAAAAATACTAATATATGTTGTTTCGACTATAATAAAGCGGAGAAGTCCCTTTTCGACGATCAAGAGTCAAGTTTGACTCCATATGCATAATATGCACTGCTCTTAGCCTCTTACTATATACTAGATCCTGACCCGCACGTACGTGCGGGGTTTCATATTTCAAAAACATTTCTTACAAATTTTCATACAATATAGATTATTTTATTGTTTTTATGATGTATATTTTAGTGTATTAGATCTAGATCCACATGTACGTGCAGAGATATTTTTTTTAGAAATTGTTATATAGATTTTAAAAATATAAAATATTTTGTTGTGTTAGTGAACTTTGTAATAATATAGATATTATAAAGTTAGAGTAATGAACGAAATTTAGTTGCGTTAGTGCATAGTTATATTTTAAGATTCGGACCTACACGTACGTGTGAAATTGTATTTAATATAAAATTAAGATATTATTTAGTTGCAAAAGTTAAGTGATGTTACGTTTTTATTTTCTAAACTATTCAAAACATTTCTAATTCAAGTTAAGTGATGTCACTTTTTTTTTATTTTCTAAACTATTCAAAACATTTCTAATACAGCCGCATTTCTAATTCTAATTCAAAACATTTCTAATTCAATCTAAATTAAGATATTATTTAGTTGCAAAATATTTGCATTTAATTTTTTTACCAAATTTCAAATTCAATCTTAAAATCCTCCATTGATAAATCTTTTTAAATGATAGTTTTTTTAATTTTGAATTAAAATGATATTATTTTTATTTTTATTTTTGATATAGAATAGTCTATTAGGATTGGTTTAGAAAAAATCTTAGTTAGATATCAAATCTTAGTTTTTCAATTCCTATTGGTTAACAATTTTTAAAAAATTAATTTCAAATTTTCGTTTATAATTAATAAGAGAGAGAAAATTAGTTTATTTTTTTGGAAATTAATAAGTATTTAAAAGAATTAAACTATTTTTTATTTAAATATATTAATTTTGTGATTACTATTGTACCCTTAATGAAGTTATTTAAAAACACTAAAAACCAATGGCATTTTTTGTAATTCTTTACCCTTTATAAGGTTATTTATTATCCAATGCTTCCCAATTAATAATATATATAGACAAAATTAGTCGTATATTTAAATAATAAAAAATCAATACGACGAATCTCATGATCGGCCCTTCTGCAATTTGTATTCCAATTAAATAAAACTACATTCATATGTCAACTAAATCTGACGTTAAAACTGGTTTGAAAACAAAACAAAAAAACTCGAGGACGCCTAGTGTTTAGACTATTTTATGACTTAGCAAACGCAGACAAATCAATGTTTTGTTTCCTAGCTACGTTGTATTTATGAGTAATCGGTTGGGTTATTCTTTTTTTTTTTTTTTTTTTTTTTTTTTTTTTAACTCAAAGACATACTTTATTTATTAGAAAATACTAGGAACCATACATGGTTTCTCACGTTCCACCACTGGCTGAAGCCAAAATGGGGTACTGCAATCTAAAGAAGCAAAGTAAAGATTACAAGACATGGCAGCTTTTGCAAGCTGATCTGCACATGTGTTGCCTTGTCTTCCAAAGTAAATCGGTTGGGTTATTCACTTATTTGTAAAAGAAAAGAGGGAAACAAAGAAAAAAAAAACTAATAGAAAAAAAAACAATCGGAATAATTTGATTTGATATATCAAGTAGTGGACAGTGTGTAAGCGAGGACAGTGGACGGTGGCACGATAGATGAGTCATGAAGGCTTCACGTTACTCAATACTCACAATGGTTGGTCATTTTATAATTATTTTATGAGTTGTATAAAACGTTTACATCCTCATATATAATTTAACTAATATCGTCTATATATACTATTAATTTGTCTGTGCACTCGCTATCTATCGTCAAGGCCCCTGCAAAAGGCAAGCACAAATATTACGAATAAATCAATGGCCTCTCGGTGACAGAGAGACCAATGAAAATCTCAATTTTTTGATTAGGGGTGAATTCTGTGGTATACATATATATATATATATATATTCAGGAAAGAATAGTAGTTTAAATGCGTGGAAAACGTATAGGGAAGTCAGACTTTTGGATGATTAGAATAAGTTAAACTAGAAAATTAAAGATCCACAAGTCTTGAATCTTTAATTGAGTGATTGATAAACGTAGGAAAATGTTTTGGAACCGTGAAAAAGAGAGAGCCAGCCAGCCATATAGGAGGCAGGTAACCCTAAAAGATAATATAAAGATCAGAAGGCCAGTAGTTAATGGACGATATGCCCAGATCGAGTAGAGTTGTTGGCAGATGATGAATATCACCAAACCATTTGTTACTTTAGAATGGATGGATGCACAATAATTAATGTGTACTTAGTTAAAACGGCGTCGTAAAAAAGAAGAAGAGAATTTTGTCTTTTCCCGCAAGCGAGAGGACTATGGGGGAAGAACAAAGCGGTTGTTGTTAACAGACTCCATCGAATGACTTGTTCCTCCGTGGGCCCTCCAACTTAATTTATCATCATTTAGATTATGGTTTAGTCAATAATTACGATGGAGTCGAGTCGACGACACCCCTAGCTTGTCTATATTTAAAACACCATCCTAGAGATTTTTTTAGTGTATACGATTATTTTGTGGCTTAAGTGCTTAACCAAACCAACCCAACCCAAAAATATAACATTTTCGTCAAATATACATATACCGAGAGAGAGACCCTTAAACCCCCAAAACCTCCTCCTTGCTTCCATCGATCCCATTCTTCCGTTAACTGATGGCTGAAACGCCGGCTTCTCCTCCTCTTCACCCTCCCGTTCTTTTGTCCGATTCCGCCGCCAAAGACGCCATGCTCACTTGGTTTCGCGGCGAGTTTGCGGCCGCCAACGCCATGATCGATGCTCTCTGCGCTCACCTTATGCAGGGCTCCGGCGGATCCGCTCAATACGAGTCTGTCATGGCAGCCCTTCATCGCCGGAGGCTCAACTGGATCCCTGTCCTCCAGATGCAGAAGTACCATTCCATCTCTCAAGTCACCCTCCAGCTACAACAATTGGCAAAAGGCTTTCATCATGTCGTCAAAGAAACCTGCAGCATCCCCGACCATCATCACGATGATGATGATGATGATGATGATGATTCTCCCTCCAGCGACATCACTGATGGAGGATCCCGGGAAGAAGACCAAACCCTCTCAATCTGTTGTAAGCACGAGGACGAATGTGAATCACGAGGAGCCTCACTCCTCAAGCACTCCAAGCGTTTCTCCGCCAAGGAACATGTTAGAGGACATACGGCAAGTTCATCATCCTCTTTACCAAAGCAGACAATTGCTTTTAAAAACATCTGAGGTTTGATTAATTGTTTAGTTACTACTAACTACTGAAACAATTAATATAAATACATGATATAGGCTTTGATTTTATCTCTATCCATAATATCATTTGTGTTATCTCGTCCTGATGGATGGATGAATATTGACTTTGCTTCATTAATTGTTTCCATGACTGTCTAAGACTGCGTGGTTGCTCCTCGCAGGCCAATGTTGTCAAAGGCCTCAAACTCTACGAAGATGTCTTCACTGGTACTCAACTCTCCAAGCTTCTGGATTCTATTAATCAGCTCCGAGAGGCTGGTCGGAATCACCAACTTTCAGGTGACGACTTTATCCTTTAACATTAATTCAGTCTTTTTTCATTAACCTTACACACAAGTTTCAAATGCAGGGGAGACCTTTGTTCTGTTCAACAAGAACACCAAGGGAACCAAAAGAGAGCTTCTTCAGCTTGGAGTTCCTATTTTCGGCAACACCACGGATGAACACTCAGGTAAGGACAACAAGGCACTTGGTGCATCCGCTATTCATACACACATACGATCTCCTAATAACCCGCACCGTCCTTTGCAGTGGAACCTATCCCAACCCTTGTCCAAAGTGTGATCGACCATCTTCTTCAATGGCGTGTGATTCCTGAATACAAACGACCAAATGGCTGTGTGATCAACTTCTTCGATGAGGTACTTACTTACACCTTCCTTTTCCAGATCAACATCTCTCGATCCTTCCAGCTAAGGTTTGGGCTTGTTTGCAGGACGAACACTCTCAACCATTTCAGAAACCTCCTCACGTGGATCAACCCATATCCACTCTTGTCTTGTCTGAATCAACCATGGTGTTTGGGCACAGACTCGGGGTCGATAACGATGGCAACTTCAGGGGCTCACTCACTCTCCCACTAAAGGAAGGGTAATGGAAACACTCCCCCAATAACTGCCATGTTGATTGTATCCGAGTTTTGTTTCTAATCAGAAGAAGCCTAAAATGATTGTCGCAGGTCGTTGCTGGTGATGAGGGGTAACAGCGCAGATATGGCCAGGCATGTAATGTGCCCCTCGCCCAACAAAAGAGTCGCAATCACCTTCTTCAAACTCAAACCGGACTCCGGTAAGGTCCAGCCGCCCCCCACCCTATGGCGACCAGGCACCCCAGCTCCTCCGGCTTGCGGAATGGTCATAGCTCCGTTGGTGATGCTAGCTCCGGCTCCCAAGAGGATAGACGCTGGCACTGGAGTTTTCTTGCCGTGGACACCGCCAGTTACAAGAAAACCAACGAAGCATCTCCCGCCGCGAGTCCAGAGGCTGCGTCTCTTGTCATCAGCAAAGCCAGTGGCAGATCGTGAGGCATCGTCGCCAGAGATAGGAGTGAGCTGAGTTGGAAAGTGTCACACACGGAAGCTCTTTCTTTTTTTCCTTTTGTTTAACAGAGTCTTTTGGTTTCCTTGTGGGTATACTTGAGTTTAGTGGGTTTTTCTTGTTTCTTCTTAGTAACATTTTGCTTTCCTTTTATTTGGTCAATTTAATAGATTGAAGATGAGGGTATTATGATGCTACATCTACTTTGAACAATTTGTATTAAAAGATCGTCAATTTAAATTAATTTCAAAGATCTTCAGCTTCAATCAAGAAAAGAGGAAACTTGATCGAATTTGCCTAATAATACACAAATATTCCTGCAACTGCTTTTTCTGTTAAAGCAAAAGAGGATGGAGAAGGAAGCAGAGAGATTCTGGTTTCTCTTTTCCTTTTTTCTTTTATTAGGTATTACGACATAAACACATAGCTTCCACTGGCTCAATTTCCCCATCTCACAAGAGTAGAATCAAAGCAAACCCGATATCCTACTACTCATTTCTTCATATACACCAAAACCACTCCTCAAGCACAAGAATCCTGGAGAGAAAAGAAAAATACTTTTCTTTTTCCGCAGTCTTCTTTTTGACAGAGAATGCACAGAAGAGAGGATGATGACAGCAGCAGCTCCCTGCGGCCTCGGGGCATTTGCCGTCGGCTGCTTCGATTTGTTGTGGCTAAACTATGGATATTAGGAGAGAAAGAGATGAATGAAGATAAGCCTGAGAGGAACAAACTAATCAAGAAGGGATCAATGTCTGACATCACTATTCATTTCAAGCAATTAGAAGACTCTGAGGATGACGACAAATGCAAGAACAATTCCCCTGGCTCGTCAAGCCAAGAATCAGAGAGAGAGACAATGATAACACTAGCTAATGGTAGTAACGGCCCAAATAAGAGGTTACAGGAGAAGGTGGAAAAGAGCATCCTGGGTGAGCCGAGCCCTAAGCAACAAGTCACTCAGCCTGAAGCAGGGAAACCATCACCGCCTCAGAGACGTCTGGGCCCCCTACTAAATGATATAAATAAGAAATCAGATGCTTTTATCGAGAGTACACTCGAGAAGATGAGGAAAAGCTTAGCCTAGAACTAAACACATGAGCCTCCTTCTTCTCTGGCTTTCTCTGTCGAGCTAAACTCAATTCTTTAATTTTCTTTAAATTTACCAGCTGCATTCTTGATAAGAAAACATATATGTACTCGCACTTCTATTTTGAACAATAATTCATCTCAGAACTTTAAGATTAACAAGAAATATTCCTTAAGGGGCTAGCTCATATATCATTCTAGAGCAATGTTCACATTCGTTTGCCTTAAACCCACGTACCTAACACGATAGGCTTCATTCCATAGAGAAGCCGAATGAAGAATCGTTCTAAGGAAGAGAAGACAAAGAATCTTCATGATTCAAGAGTAGTCCCTACTCTGTGCTTTCCAGCCATCCAAGCTGAAGAAAGAGGCAAAAAGTGAAATAAAACAAAAGTGAGCAAGCACAAAAAAGGGCCCTCAAAAATTAGCATTCGAATTGTGAAAGGAGCCATACCTTCCAGGCATACATTGCAAAGAAGGTAACAGTGTCAGCAGACCAGACAAGAGCAAATGACTTCCAAAAGAAGGGAATAGCAACATTGAGCAACGGGATGATCATAAATAGGTAGTTAAGAGCCTCTTTCTCTTTAAGTGGACAGTCTCGTGCTCGAAGAGAAGGAATAGCTGCGAAGAGAGTAGAGGATTAGGCTTGGAATAAAGTTGAAAGTAGAGAAGGCAACTTACTGAACATCCAAATGGACCACATCCCCATCAACCTCCATAAATCAGGTTCATTGGAGGGAAAGAGGAGGTTGAAAGAAAGGACACCTCCGAGCAACATTGAGGCATAGCCTTGAACCTCAAAAACTTTGTAAAGAGTAGTTCCAGGGAGAGCTGGGTTTTTACTGGCGGTGGAAGCTCTAGGGGCAAAGGTTGCTGCAGTCTTGTTAACTACCTGCTTGAATTGAAAAGTCATAAACTTTTGCAACTCTTTCAACATTGTTAAGAAATTGAGATTAAAAAAAATCTCTGCATTTCATGTGAGAAAAAAGGCCGGACCTTTTTCAAGTCTTTACCGAGAGCAGAGGGGGAAGAGGATGAGGAAGGGAGAGGAGATTCCGGTTCGTCTTTGGGGTCAGAAGTGGCGCAAATCCGGAAAGTAGATCTCCTATGGCGAAACCCATAAGTGAGAGCAATGGAAGAGGAGACCCCATGGGAATGGGTGCTGCAGAGAGACCAACTCATTCTTGATTCTCCTCCAACAATATAGATAAGGAAGAAGAGAGAAGCAACACTCTTGTTGTTGTTGGCTTTATCGAACCGGTCCAATTCTCTAACCGAACTCCGGTATTCGAATTAAATAAAAGCCATCAATCAATACAATAATTGATTCTCGAGCCCACGACGGTTTGATTGGTTTAGCTATTTCTCGGCGCTAAATATATTTTATTAAAATTGTTGCCAAAAGATCTTTCCGAAGATTTAGATTTCCAGTTTCCAATTCTCAAATTGCAATCCACCGAATTTGAGGTCGGAGATCTATTGAATTCGATGAGAATTGGGACATGGTGATTGTTAAGACTACAGGTTCCCATGGCGAGTTTTCTGGTGGGCTTCTTGTTGCCTTCGCTACTTCTGGCAGGTTGGTGCCTTCTCTCTATCTTCTTACTTGCACGGTTGCTTACTTTGCCCTGAGATTCTTCTGGTTTTGCCTTCTCTCTACGCCAATTAACATTGTACCCTACTCTTTTAAGGTTCAAGGTGCCAAGGACCTTTTTTCTCCTTGTGTTTTTATGTCAACACATTGCTATCATATATGTTTGTTATTGCTATCTCCGACCACCACACCGGCTTCTATTTTCCTAATGCATTTTCTCTTCTGTCACAGCTGCACTTATTAACTGGAGTGTCATATCCTTGGTTGATTTGATTGCTTTCCTCCTCGTTCACTATATTGCACCTGAAATTGGTATGACCATTTTCCCTCTTATCCGGTCTCTTATCTGATTAACAGCTCCAACCCCAATGTTTCTATTCTACTAGATATATCTTGTAATCTTTGATTTTGGGTTAGGTGTTTCCTCTGTAGAATGATAGGATTCAGGTACTTTATGCCCAACATCTACATTAGCCTGGAGCAATAAAGTTTATTATTCCCAGTTTTCATCGCTATTATCAGATAAGCTCATGTTTACTTTGGATCTTGCTTTATTTTGCCAGGATACCGTTTTCAGAGGAGGCATTGGCTATTATGGCCCATTTTCATCTTTTCCTTTGCAGTATTTCTTGCTCAAGTGGTCTACCTTGTCATTTGGGCTACTCTAGGTCAAGACTGGGATACAGCAGATACTGGCTGGATGACAGTTTTTGGCTTTATGATGTAAGAGTTTGTCTCATCATTTCATTCATCTTACCACCCTTATAAATATTTACTTCTTAGTTGATACCCTCGTGTTTGCTTCTGCAGATTAAAGTCTTGGAGAAACCCCACTGTTATGTATTTCTTGGCTTTACAACTACTAACATCATTAGTTGCTTTAGCTGACATATACAGTAGTAGATTCGGCTTCGCTCGATGGCGGGACACATGGTGGTCTCACTTTTCAGGACTTTTCGAACACCTAGGTTTGTAATTAATGTAGTAGGCCCATACGGCTTGTCCAAATACTTACTGTAATATTTTCTCATATGGTGTTCATCTGGTTTAGTAATGTCAACTTGGTTTGACATTATCTCCTCCTTTATGACTCAGGAAGTCATCTTAGGGTTGCCTCCTGCTTGTTGTTACCAGCAGTTCAATTGGCAGTGGGAATCTGCAATCCATCATGGGTTTCTTTGCCATTTTTTATTGGAAGCTGTGCCGGTCTTGTGGACTGGTCCTTGACAAGCAACGTTTCAGGACTTTTCAGGTGGATAGATTATTGATTATTACGCCAAGTTAGCGCTTCCCAACCCTGCTTCTCTGAAATCTAGTCGTTTTTTGTCTGGTTAAGGTGGTGGAGAGTTCTTTATATCTACGCAGGATTCAACATTGTCCTGCTTTACCTCTATCAACTACCAATAAACTTTTCAGATATGATTCGATGGATAGCAAGCTTTATAGGTCTATTCAGAATCTCCATGGAAACTGAAGGCCCTGATATTTGTTCTGGTGTTTTCCTTGTGTTGTTCTACATCATGGTATGTCTTTGTTTTTTGAGGCTTAGTATTACTTGGTCTCAGTCATGTGTAAAATGATAAACTTATATTACTGAACCATATAATTGATGAACTGTTTCTCAAAACAACTGTCAATATGTGGTAACCGTGTTTGGGGGGTTGGTTATGAACACCAACAGCCAGTGTAGTTTTTAAGTGAGCTGACGTATCCGCCTTAATCGTTTAACAAGCTACCACTTTGTTATATCGATATACCTGTTATAGTCTTTACATGCCTGTCTTTCTGCTATGGCAGCTATCCTATGTAAGGTCAGACCTCGAGGATATGGACTTTATCATGTCCACGAGTGAAAATAACTTGGCAGAGCGGCTTCTTCCTCCAAAATATTCATTTTTTATTCGAGAATCAAGGTATTCTATATAGATTTTTGTTTATAGTTTCTTCCTACTGGGAGCTGTTGTGGTTTTAACATACTATTTCAGTGTTCTAAGGGAAATTTTAATTTTTCTGTTTAAATTTTTCTTACTTGTATTAATTAGTTTATGGTTGAATATGCTCAAAGAATTGTGTGATGAAAAATCCAAAACGTTGAAAGTCATTGGTTTCCTGTATTCAAGGGGTCGGCACTACAAAACGTGGAAGCTTACACACTGGGCAGTTTTATGAACTCAAAATTGTGATTGGTTTCTCTGCTAACATAAACTATGGGGTTGGTAAAGAGTAGTACTCTCTTACAGAGTACAACTAGTTCACACATTCTAATGGATGTTCTCTTGGCTGGGCTATACAAGATTAGTCATTTTAGATGTATAATAGATTAATAGTTACACTCAACTTAATTTGTTAATTTCTTGCAAATTTCCAGGGCCGGTGTCAGGCACACCAATGTTTTACTGAGGGGAGCTGTGTTTAAGACTTTCAGTATTAATTTCTTCACATATGGTTTTCCGGTATATATTTCTATCCCTGGTATTAAAGTGTATGTGGCAGCTAAAGCAACGTAATGTGTCAGAAACTCACACTCTTTTTATTTGCGTTCATGATTGCCAGGTCTCTCTATTTGCTCTTTCGTTCTGGAGTTTTCACTTTGCGAGCTTGTGCGCTTTTGGCCTCCTTGCATATGTTGGTTACATTATTTATGCCTTCCCGTCATTGTTCCAGTTGCACAGATTAAATGGCCTTCTTCTCGTATTTATACTCTTATGGGCTATCAGTACGTACATATTCAATGTGGCATTTTCTTTTCTGAACACTAAGGTTGGAAAGGTAATATCTTCTCTATGTGCAAAAGTTTCAACTACTTTAAGAAAACTAAGATGTAAATTAACAACTAGTGTCATAAATATACAGGACATGCAAATTTGGGAGATGGTGGGACTTTGGCATTATACTATACCTGGATTCTTTTTGCTTGCGCAGTTTGGTTTGGGGATGTTGGTCGCGTTGGGTAATCTTGTAAACAACTCTGTTTTTCTGTACCTGTCTGAAGAAAGCTCCAGATCTTCCAATGAGAGATCTTACGCTGAAGGTAATGGTCTCACATACGGTTCTGCAAAGCAAGTTACCTGATGTTATCCAACTTCTAGGGTTGTCAGAACTGTAAAGTTGAGAAAATGGGTGTACTTGTTTATAATGATCAACCTATCATCTTTTCTGCATCATGTGACCTGAAACCATCCAAGACAATTTAAGAGTTATCATCACGCTATCCAAATTATATTTTAAAGAATTTTTTGATATAGAAACTCATGAAAAATATTTATGTACTGTGTGATTTTGAAGGAGAAAAGCTTAAGACTACTATTATTTTGGCAAGCTTAGTTTATTCCTGGCTTCGTTTTAGGTGGCAAATTCAATCTTCTGCTATTTATTCAATTTGATAATTGTTCTTAACGGCTGAAATTACCATCAATCACAGCTGATGAAGAAACAAAGGTGTTGGTCGTCGCGACCATTGCTTGGGGATTGCGGAAATGCTCACGGGCTATTATGCTTGCACTGATTTTTCTCATTGCTATGAAACCTGGGTTTTTCCATGCCGTATATGGTATGTTTATTCCCCTCCCATTTGCTTTTATAACAAGTATTCATGTATCTGGGTGTTTGCGAAAAAAATTGTTCATGATACTGTGTACTTCTTTCAGTGATATTCTTTCTTATGTATCTGTTGAGCCACAACATCAACAGAAAGATACGCAAGTCCTTGATTCTACTATGTGAAGTTCATTTTGCTCTTCTCTACATTCTTGAGATTGACCTGGTGTCGAACTCCTTAAAGCAGGAAGGCTCTGTGAGCAGAGAAGTTCTATTTCAGTTAGGTACGCCTCTCTTTCTGTATTTTTCAAGTTAAAGGATAAATTCACATATTTCCTTTCAAAGTTAGTTGCTAGGTGATCTTGGATTTGCCGAAAACTCTCTGTATGAATCTTTGCAGGTCTCCTTAGGTCTGAAAGCTCTTGGGACTTCTTGGAGATAGCCTTGCTAGCTTGTTTCTGTGCTATCCATAATCATGGTTTCGAGGTGCTATTTTCATTTTCAGCAATTGTACGCCATACACCAAGCCCTCCAATTGGATTTAGCATATTGAAAGCTGGTCTCAACAAATCAGTCCTCTTGTCTGTCTATTCGTCTCCATCTTCAAGTTATAGCCAGGATAATACTACTTACGGTACAACACTTCCTTCTTGTCTTTGAAGTGAACATTTGAATGACTGACATATATGCGTCTTAGTTTTTTACTTCAACTCCAGATCCTTGCTTCCATTGTCAGCTATTTGTTCTGGCATTTTGCATGCATGCCAATTAGTTTCCTTTAATGCAGTTGCCGCACCATTAATCAAACATATCAGTTTTATTTTCTTGTCCTCGTATCCTTTAATTCTTACGAATCACTATTATTTTCTTTACAGAGAGACATATTGCTTCATTTCTGAGTGCAATTGGGCAAAAGTTTCTGTCTATGTACCGATCGTGTGGAACATACATTGCTTTCATCACTATTCTCATAAGTGTATACCTGGTCAAACCCAATTATGTATCATTTGGATATATTTTCCTTCTCTTGCTCTGGATTACTGGAAGACAACTGTTTGAAGAAACTAAGAGACGCTTGTGGTTCCCTTTGAAAG